TGTTCCTCTTCCCATTCAGAAACTCTTTGTTTCCTACGCCACACAACCAGCCAAGAGCAACAGCTCCTTTCCTAATTATTTCTCCATGGAGCTCTATTTAATCCATCGATCTCTTAATAATCCACCATTATATTTTTCTCTGTTATTCCCATCTCCCTTCAATCCATTATCCATATCCTTTATTTTCAGTTTCTATCATCTTTCTCATATCAGATTCATATTATAACCCTAAGTTTCAATCTCACCCAAAAAGCTCACAAATTGTCTTTGAGATTGATGGTGACCAAGAGGGAAGGAGCATGAGAAACTGAAAAGGTAATCAGATTTATAATTTTTTCTTTATATTTGTTCCTACCCAGCAAACTATTGTTTCAATTCAATTTCCAATAGGAACAAAACACAGAGAGATACAGAGTGGTAATCAGATTATTGTTCAGATTTTATTCTTGTCTAACTTGTTTTTTGTCTCTACGAAACTCCGCAAAGGATAATTATAGATTCATACTGGCACTCTAATTTGACTTTTCTAGATATCAAGCCGCTAACTTACAGCATACAGCTAGCTAACTTAATTTGGATTTGTTTCTAAGGCAAAACATCCTCTGCCTGGTGGAGATAATCTCCTAAGTCTCCTTATATAAGTCGCTATAAAACTGCACAATGACATCTACTAAACTTTTCTTAACAAAAGCTTGCATATATCTTATCATTGCAGATGTACATGAATCAGGTGGAGGTACGGAGTGGAGTTTCTCAAAGTGCTAGAAGATCAAGGATTTTTCAGTGATTGATTGTACTTTTAATGTTACAGTTTTTACTTTTTTGATTGTAAATGGTGCAGAGGAAATCAAGCAGCTATTTGATAAAGGGAAAGCATCAGATATTTGCACATTGTAATGGGATGGATCTCTTATTGGCTGCCTGTTTGGGAGGAAGAAGGCTACAGGAAGATTTTGTACCCATCCAAATTTGCTGCAACCATTTCATATGTTGTTTTCAAAGCTGATTTTGCTAAACTCATGTGATGAAGCTTGAAGCCAGAAGCTAATCTTAAGGGAAAGGGTTTAGTATTTTGAACAAACACTTAGTTTTAATGTATCTTGACATGTTCCCATTATTGGTTGTTGGAATGTTGGTTTGTAAATTTTTAATTTCCTTCATGATATTAAATATGTAATCAAAAAATTTTTGTTTTATATGGAGATATGGCTGCACTCTACATAAAATCATTTTATTTGTTGTTTTTTTTGCAATTGTATATAAACTAAGGGAAGGGGTCTCATTCAGTTTATTGCCTAGGGCCACCGAAAAGTCAGGGCCGGCCCTGCTACTCCTACAAACCCTGCTCCAAAATGTGACCTACAATTTTCAACTCAGAGACCCTTGCTACTAAAACATTATAAGACACACAAACATATGATGTGGGAACAATATTTTCCTATGAATAAAGTCAATTGAAAGCTAACATGTAAATTCATAAAACTATTTCAATGAATTATGTGGAACGAATTTATATTAATCATGCATTACAAAACTATTTTAATGATTGTTTTCTTTAATAAGAGAAGTGCAATACAATGATTTTTTGAAGAATAAGGAAAAGATAATCGGTATTTTTAAAATAAAAAAAAACCCAACACATGCTTCATTAAAAACAGATGGTGAATTAGTACACGTGTGTACTATAGACGTTGCCCAATGGTAATACACATGAACGGTGGTAAAAGCACAAGTTTAACTCAAAAACATAACCAAATCATAAGCTAGAATGGTACAAAATGACACAAGACCGGAACATACAAAAATTACTCTTGTATGTTCCATTAATAGCAGAAGCTCTTTCTTTATCATCATTGATTCATTATCAACAACAAAAGCAATGGCAATTCTGAACCACTGTCTCTCAGTGACCTCCACAGCAACACCCATCTCCCCAGACTCAGCAACTCCACCTGTACCAGACCCAAGACAGACCAAGATCCTATTGCCCAAGAAGAAGCCCATGAAATGGTCCACTGGGGTAGCTCCAGGGGAGTATGGTGGCCCACCAACCACAACCAAGCTCCGAAAGTACTGGGGAGGCGAAGATGACCCTCTTACCTCTGATGATTTCATTTGGAACAGAGAATTCATGGACCGCATGAAAAAACTCATTCAGGACCCTGACTCTTCCACCCAAGCCACTCCTGTTAAGGTTTCAATTTCATTAGTCTTTTCTTTTTCCTGAGCTGATTGATTTCGTATCTGGGTTTGTTTCGTTTAGTGTTTCTGATGTTTGTCATTTGATTGGATGGTTTGGTTGGGTAATTTGATTGTAAATATTGATGTTTGGGTGGTTGGAGAATAATGGGTTTTCTGTGTTTTTATTCAAATGTATGGATTTTGATATGATATTAGATTTTTTTGCATGTATGTTGATTTAGCTTAGTAATCCATTAGATGGGTTTTTGTTTGTTGGTCAATTTGGCGTCTTTCTTGTTACTTAGACATTTTGGTTTGGTTACTGAAGAACTGGAAGGAAAGAGAGAAAAGGAGGAATTGGAACATTGCGTTACTCGCTATCTTGACTCCTCGTATGATATCTAAACCAAGCCCTTTTCATCGTTTTCTGGCTGAATTTGGCTTAACAAGGAAAAAAGAAAGCACGATAATATTTCATGTTCCTTTCCTTGTTTCTTCCTAGCAATCAAAACGTACTCTTTGTGAATGAACTAATGTGGTCTTTTTCTTTGTGAATGATTTCTGTGGTTTTGTTGTGTGATCAAGCGTGTTTGGTGTAATCAGGAAAAGCCTTCTGGGTTTCTTAGCTTGAATAGAGTCATGACTCTTGACAGGTTTGTTCTCACCAATAGTTTCAGTTGTTTTCCTTTTAAAAAAAATTTAAAATAAAAATTTTGTTCTCAAAACTTGACTGAATTATGGACATGCAGTTTAGAAGCTGATTTCAGCAAAGAACTCAAGCCTTCTGGGTTTCTTAGCTTGAATAGAGTCATGACTCTTGACAGGTTTGTTCTCACCAATAGTTTCAGTTGTTTTCCTTTTTAAAAAAATTTAAAATAAAAATTTTGTTCTCAAAACTTGACTGAATTATGGACATGCAGTTTAGAAGCTGATTTCAGCAAAGAACTCACTGCTGCTCCTGCCCAGCCCAAGATAGAACCTGTGGAGGCTCCAGCACAAGTATGATGAATGTCTTTAACTTTTCAATCCAAGTACTTTTATCTCAGGGTAGTTGTGCATTTACAACTTTTCTTTTTCTGAAATTTATTTATTGCCAGAGTGCCAGCAGCACTAGAATCAAATGGAAATTAGCACCAACACGGCGTGAGCAAGATAAGTGGGATAGAGCAACTAAGGCCGCAACTGGAGGCAGTGTACGTCTGATATTTAATAAAAACCCCATTGGTATCCAGCGACTTGGTCATCTATATGGCCTTTACAGCTTATAGAAGTGAATATGGCTTTTTATATTTAAAAATAGAACTTTCAGTTACATTCAACCATTGTTACTTTGAAGGATATGCTTCTTGTTTTTCTGCTTTTCACTTTGATATAACCTGCAGGAAGTGATGTTTCGGGAATTAAGGCGCTCTCGGGAGGACCCAAAAGTATTGGCTGAACAGTATAGGAAACAGTATTTTAAGGTACTTCTCTGCAGTTCCGGTCCACTATATCATCTATACCATCCTGCCTTTGTTCATATTCATGCTCCTTCGGCACTTCTAGAATTTAAAAAAAGAATAATATTACTTTTCGTTTGATGTTGCTATTACAGTTAAAGAAGAGGTTGCAATTCCTTACACTAGGTTTAGGTGGTGTTGGGTTAGTCTCAGCTTATGTTTCATATTCCCCTGAAATTGCAGCTAGGTATGGACTTTTCAGGTTCTTATTTATTTATTTATTTATTAAAGTCCTGTCATCCCAGATCTTGGTTGCCAGGTTCATTTTCTACTTTTCCATTCCTGCCATCAAATTTGTGAACTGCATGGGAAACGTCTTAAGATTATCTTTTTTCTACATGCTTTCTGTTTCTTTCTTTTTTCTTCCCTTTTTGTACCCTAAAAGTTTTCATTTCAGTCCTACAACTATATTATATGTACAGAACTTGTAGTTTAAGAAAGTTTTATACTGCTTATTTAGAGTAAATAAATGATTAGGAGGGCAGTTTTGTTGAGTTGACTGTGCAATTTGAGATGGTACATATGGGTTCAGGGTGTTACATTACTTGTATGTTGCGTGCAAACTAAAGTGCAATAAAAGTAACTCCATAGCTTCTATTTTGTTCAACAATAGAATATGTCCTGATAGTTTTATCTGTGAGCATGCAACCAATAGAATATGTCCTGATAGTTTTATCTGTGAGCATGCAACCAATAGAATTCGTTCTGCTTAGTTTGATACTAAAATTTGTACTGCCTATTTAGTTTATTAGTATGTGAACAAATGTGGGCCCTGCTAATGTTTTTTTTTTTTGGTGTTAATTCTAAAGAGATTCACTAGTGAAAGGTAGTTCTTTCGACATTTACCATCTCAGGACATCTGATGGTGTTTCATATACATTTTTTATAGATTATAATTTGTTGATAGCATTCAGCTATGGTGTTGGATTGCTCATCCATCTCTTATGCATTCAGCTATGGTGTTGGGTTGCTTGGTTCTGTGGCTTACATGCGTATGCTGGGGACTAGCGTGGATTCCATGGCAGATGGAGCAAGGGGACTTCTCAAGTATGTGATAAATGACTATTGCCTGATAATAAATACATCAGCTGTATGTTTCGTACTGAGTAACTAATAGGCCAAAATTTGATTAATTAATTGAAGTTCCTTCTCATATATGCGCACGTATTCATGAGGAGTTCAATACGTAATTTGATGTTTTCTTTAACTTCATACACACATTCATCAAGATGTTTGGAAAATTCATTCTGAACAACAACTAGCTACTTTCCCTGATCTGCTATCAATTTATTGAAGCTTCATGTGAAGATGCCTGCTAGCACCAGTATTACCTTATGTTGCTAGTGCTAACTTGGGTTTAGGTTTCTTGTAAGCTTCCAACTTACAAATCTTTTATGAAAGCTTTCAACCTTCACACTGTCTGTTGATCGAGTGAATTGTCCTTCCATATTTGTAAATATTGCTTAAATAAATGGTGTTTCAGCTCAAAGCAGTTCCTTAAAAAGGACATAAAAAGCAAGATCTTACATATGCTGTTTTTAAAGAACAAAGATATGCTGTTTTTAAAGAACAAAGAAGAATATCATTTAACTTTATGGACTTTTAATGCAGGGGAGCGATTGGGCAACCAAGGCTGTTGGTTCCTGTTGTACTAGTCATGATCTTTAACAGGTGGAATGGGTAAGCATCTGCACTGGCATGTTGCTCTTGCCATGTACTGTACTCATCTTCTTTCTTTAATAAACACTTCCATTGGTGGTTTCTGCAAGTTTCTTTTAAATGCTTTCCCTATTTTTATTGTAAATTTTTTACAGTGAAATTGGTATCAAATAACCATTTGTGATTATGCTTTTATCTACAGTGGTTGAGCCTAATGCTTCTGTGGATATGGCTGAAGACAAGAAATTCAATAGCCATGACTCTTTTTCATTGACTAACAATGTTGAGTTTGGGTGCAGGCTTGTCGTTCCACAATATGGATTTATGCACCTGGAATTGATACCAATGTTACTGGGATTCTTCACATACAAGATTGCTACTTTTATCCAAGCTATAGAGGAAGCACTTCCTGTAGCTGAGAAATCAGATACAAGTTCAAGCTAAACCTTCCCATCTTCATAGATCAGCAGAATATCCCATTGATAGTTCTGATGCAGCTTTCAGAGGTTTGTTTTGCTCTCAATTATTTCCAGCTGGTTAGCACGCTTTCACTCTTTTGGCTGAAATTGAGAAAACTATGTGGCCAAACTTTCACCAACCTAACATTTTTCGAATATGAAACTATGCGATTTGAGTTTCGAATTACAAATTTCCTGAATTTTGTATGATATTCTCAGATAATTGATAAATGTTAAGAAAGATGGCCAACTTTCCTCCAATAGAAACCAACTACATTGGAATTACTATGGGTGGTGTGATCCCATAAAGTTACAACTTACAACTTGAAAACCCTTGAATAATTATTGTGCATAGTTTCTATTTTTGATCTGTTTTTTCATTTAATTACCTGAATGTACAGATAAGCTGCTCGGAAGTGAAGATATGTGCAGTGAATTGAACAGAACTGCATACTAGTTATTGCTGTTAGTTGTCTTTTGTTCTGTATGAATGTTGTAAAACAAGGGAAAAGAATATATTTGTCTATAATTTGCCTCATACCATTTGTAATATTTTCAGATAACTACATTTTTTTTTCCTTTTTTTAATTTACTGGAGGGGAAAGGCAAGCGTTGAACTCTTGTCAGCAAGCAATACATGTTCCAGTCAGAGCTAAAATCCCCAAGATTTGATTACTTCAACTGTTTTAGCATGAAAAACCTTTATTATTATTATTTTTTTATACAAGTAGTATTATACTTTAATATAATCAAATTTGGACTATGGGGAGGGGGATTCGAACTCAAGTGCAGAGTGTGGAAGCTAAGACCATGTCTGCTGAAAAACCTTTATTTTGTTCTTGACTTTATTCAAATCTACATAGACAATTAAATACTGACAAAGGAAGAATTATACAGTTAAATTGGATGATAGTTCTTGACGCATATCCAGTCAATTAGAATTTAGAGAGATTTTTCTCTCCGCTTATATAAGTAAAACTAAAAATACCATACGAGTTCCCTTAATACATATTTGTTCCCTCTCCTAAAACCTCAAAATATATCTATAATATATGTCATATATTTTTGAAAAATCTCTATCAAGTTTCTTCATGAAAAACATTGTATCAAAATTGAAAAAATTTACCAATTTGGTGTGAAGATTTATCTCGTATTAAAATAGCAATATTTTAGGTGTTTTTATCACGAATGGTCCTTGAGGTTTGCAAAATTATCGCCTTTCGTCCTTAATGTTTTTTTTGTGACACTAAAAACACTTCCACCCATTTGCCATTGCAAAGGGCAAGGGCAAGGCAAGGGCTGTTACTATTCACATAAATAGTGGCAGCCCTTGCAAAAGGCTTGTGGTGTTTCTACTTATTGTCATGGCAACCCAAAGGCAACCACTATTCACATGAGATATGAGGAGAGGAATTTATATAGAGTTTTGGTTTGGGAAGTGAAGAATATGACTAACTATTTACTATAAAAAATTCTGAAATTTTTAGTTTTTTTATAGATTTTTTTTAATTTTTTTCGTTACTGACGTCAACAAACCCAAGCAATAGCCCAAGCTGTTCTTGCCTTTGGGCTGGCCCGGTTTGCTGGGAGCCATGCGCTACCTGGACTGTAGAAGCCCACTAGAACATCAAACTGGGGCTTGAGTGCACAATTTTTAGTTTTTTTATAGATCTTTTTTAAATTTTTTTCGTTGCTGACATCAACAAACCCAAGCAACAGCCCAAGCTGTTCTTGCCTTTGGGCTGGCCCGGTTTGCTGGGAGCCATGTGCTGCCCAGACTGTAGAAGCCCGCTGGAACATCAAACTGAGGCTTGGGTGCACTGTTGCCCAGATTGGAGTGCACCGCTAGAAGTGCTCTAATGGTCCTTAAAGTTACCCTATGCATATTCCCTTGGCTTCCATCAATTTTTCTGTAGGTATAATATTATATTAACAAAAGAATATTAAACTTTAAAAAAAAATATATATTAAAACTAAAAATAAAAATAAAAATAAAAATAAAAACAAATGACCTGCCAGTTCTACCACCAGCCACCTCCCATCACTCCCACCCAGCCAACCCTAACCGCTGCTCTCCGCTCATGTGAGCATTTTAATGACAGTGATCATTTTGATGTGCATAGTGTAACCTTAAAAGTGATCATTTTGATGTGCACAGTGTAACCTTAAAAACCATCAGTGTCACACAAAAACGTTAAGGACGAAATGCGATAATTTCGCAAACCTCAAGACCATTCATGATAAAAAAAACCTTAAATATTTTTCTTTTGAAAAACAAAAGGGGAATACAAATAACAAAAATTTGAACAGATGGAAAAGCACAAAAGTATGAGCATATGGCTTGTATCATAACGGTATGTTCCCTGCTGCTGTTGCAAAAAGAAAACCTTGAGTAATAAATTTCCGCAACATGAAAGCCATAGAGAATACAAATTCTGGTTCACACAAACCAAAACGCTATTTTTATTAAACTTATTACATTTTATTCGATAGAGGTTTAGAGCACTTATAAGCAGAGAGCATCCATTTCGTACAATACTTCATATGTTCCAACATAAGTTACTGAAATACAAGATACCTAAACTTCAGCCGGTATTCTGCATGCCAGCAGCAATACCCTTCATGGTCAAAATAAGTGTGTCTTCTAGTCCAGGAGCATACTCGCTCGTTGGATTAAGATTTACAAGCTCTGCCGCTGGCTTGCTTGTTTTTTCCATGTACTCCTTTGACAAGTGTGGCCTTACTTTAACATGGTAGTTCGGATCACGAATCTGCTTCAGTGTATAGGCTTGGCACACATTAAGTGTGGTGATGTAAGAGTCACGGAGGAGGAGTCTCTGCCTCAAATAAGGATCTCCTTCCAGAAGAGCTCTATGTCCAGCAACCTACAAAATTAACAGAAAATGATATTAGTTTCTTAAGATACCTGCACGTGCAGTCAAACTAATTATATTTGCTCAAAAAACTTTAAAACTTGTAGAAATAAGTAATAAAATAACACCGATAGCACTTCAGAAATTTTTTCATAAAATTGATAATTTACAGTTTTAGATTAACATTAGCCTCAGATGTATGCTCTTATGGTTTACAATCAAGTCAAGGAAAAAGTAAAAAAGTGGTTATGGACACAGATGTAGAGTAATTTAATTTGTCCTTTGAAAAAGTAAGTATAAAGGGCTGCCTAAACTCAGCCATTATACAAGTAATTTAGGTGCTGTATTACCTGGAGGACGAGGCTCTTAGTTTCTTCATAGTTGGCCCTCAATCTCTCTCCAAATGACCATAGGTCTTCTGACACAAGAAGCTTGTCATACAGAGAGGCAATACCCGGGTCGCCCTTGGCAAACACCATCTCAATTAAATCAATCGTGACTCTGAAGAAAGGCCACTGATTATACATCTCTCGAAGCATATGGAGATGTTTCGCATCCTTATCAATAGCTTGCTTAAATGCTGCCCCAAACCCAAGCCACACTGGTAAATGAAATCTTGTTTGGGTCCAAGCAAATATCCATGGGATTGCACGTAGTGATTCAATGCCTCCACTTGGCTTTCGTTTTGAAGGACGACTCCCAATGTTCATCCGGCCATACTCCAACTCTGGTGTTGCCTGCATTATCCAAGAGAAAATTATTACAGAACAATCTTCATCAGCCAATTCTGTCCTGATCAGGATAGGTAGCTTTAAAACTAATAATGAACAAATTTTATGTTAAGGTAGGCAAAGCATGTAAGAGGAAGACAACAGAAGAATGATTCTTGAAACTCAATTTCGGGATTCAACATGCTGTCTTTCATAAAGGATTAAATTAGTAACTAACATACCATTGACCCAAAAGAGAAACTAATACATTGTTGCTAATACGTCAGGGGGGATTCATGTCATTGAAATGGTTTAGTTTACACACACACACACACACGAACGCACAAAGTACATATATATTGAAAGGACGATCACATTGGATAAGTAGGATACTTACACGGCGAAAGTATTCAACAAAACGAGGTTCCTGGAAAACTATTGAACGGTATTCCTTTGTTGCAAGGACAGCCATCTCATCCATTAGTGCACGCCATTCGGGCTTTGGTGAGACAGGAGGATGCATTCCATGCTCAAGTGTAGCTGCTGTGAAACGCTGGAGTGTTCTAAAGCACAAGTGCTCCTCCCCAAATGATTGTTCAATAACTTCACCTTGAACTGTAACACGAAGTGAACCATGAATTGTGTCAGGTGGCTGAGACAATATAGCAAGATGGGTGGGCCCCCCTCCTCTTCCAACTGTTCCACCTCGACCGTGAAACATTGTAAGCTTAACCCCATATTGTTTCGCAACCTTTATGAGCTCTTCTTGAGCCTTGTATAACTGCCATGCTGCAGAGAGCCGGCCAGCATCCTTTCCTGAATCTGAGTATCCTATCATGACTTCTTGCTTCCCATTGATCCTGTTTTTGTACCAATCTATTGAAAAGAGACGGCCCACGGCAGCAGGAGCAGCCTCAAGATCAGCAAGCTTCTCAAACAATGGGACAACCCTTAGTGGTTTCTTCACACCACATTCACGTTGCAAAAGCTCCACAGCAAGCACATCAGATGGCGCTGTCGCCATTGAGATAATATAAGCACCAAAATTGTCTGAGGGAAGTTCTGAAATGACATGGAATGTGTCCAGCACATCAGCAATTTCTTCAGTCTTGGGAACATCAGAGCCAAAAAGGGGGCGCTTGCCACTAAGCTCAGACAAGAGCCATTCTTGTCTACGTTCCTCGGACCATTCTCGATAAGACCCAATCTCCAGGTGCCTTGTTATAGCATCGAGGACATCAGTGTGCCTGTCTGATTCTTGCCGTATGTCTAGTCTCACAAGAGAGAGCCCAAAAGTGGAAACTTGCCGTAAGAAATCAAGAAGGCTTCCATCAGCAATTGCCCGATCGCCACAGGAGCAGAGTGACCGGTAACACATTTCGAGCGGCTCCAGGAACTACAAGGGAGCAAAAAGACAAAATCAGCTCTAATACAAAACATTTTTGCATGAGCATGAAAGATGGGGAACAATCAAACATGATTTCAATACTGAATGTCAATTGTAATTTATTCAAAGACTACCCCAAGTTTAAAGCTGAACAGATCTTAAAATTGGGTAGACTTTAGCAATTAAGTTTGTTTTATAAGTCTACAACCAAATACATAATACTGGTGGTTGGGAGAGACCTGTTCAACATTTGTAAAGGTTGTTTCCTCAGGAATTTCAGAGATTCCATTGGCTAACAATTGGCGAGCACGTTCACGTGTACTGTACAGCTTGTCTCTTACATCACCAAGAATAACGCGATAAGGCTCATTTGGAGGAATTTGCTTCCAAAACTCTGCATCCGAAAAGCATAGTTAAAAAATAATAATAATAAATCCATTGCACAATTAAATTTTAAAAAAAGTCAAAAAAGTTAATAGAACTAAGAGAATTTTCAGCTAGTTTCAACAATTAGGCATGCCATTCTGCTAAAAGTTCAACTTAGCAAGCCAAAGATTTGAAGTTTTACCAATTATTGAAAAAGTTTCAAGCAAGGATGATAAAAACATGAAGTCATCTCTATTGCATACCTATATAGTGTTTTGCATCCTTCTTTGAAGACCTATGTAGTT